CTAAACATAAATTTTAATTGTTACTTCTCTCTGTCCGCTTCCGATAATTTGTTTGTAGAGGTTTTTTGTTGTTGGTGTACTTTTATTTTCCTGTGCGTGTGTGTGTGTGTGTGTGTGTGTGTGTGTGTGTGTGTGTGTGTGTGAGTGTGCGTGTTTCAAAGGCTAATGTACTTTTACACTTAATACAGTATTCATACTTGTTGTCTAGGGAGACATGAATTATTACAACACATAATTATAAGTCTAGCCTTTATAGCAAAACGGGTTGGGACTTTTTAAAAGCAAATTTGTTCTTTTTACTTAAAAAAACAACTAAAAGAACCAAAAAAAGAAACTTATAACAATTTTTTGTCAACTGGAAAAATAATTATTCCATGTAAGGAGAAACATTTGTACATGTGAACCTGTTCTAGCGGCCACCTATACAAGAAAGCCACCTGTACATACGATCACTTCACTCTTTTAACCTTGCGTTAATTTCAATATTTCAATGACACTTTCCAAATTCTCCCTCAAACACGACTTTACGGTTCCCAAGGAGCTACTGGGAGGCAATGACGTGGCCGGGGTAACTGGAGAAAGAGAGAAAGAGAGGGGGGGGAGAGAGAAAGAGAGAGAGAGAGATGGAGAGAGAATGAGAGAGAGAATTGGAGAGAGAGAGATGGAGAGAGAGAGAGGGATGGAGAGAGAGAGAGAGAGAAGAGAGAATTGGAGAGAGAGAAATGGAGAGAGAGATGGCGAGAGAGAAATGGAGAGAGAGATGGAGAGAGAGAGAATGAGAGAGAGAGAATTGGAAAGAGAGAGATGGAGAGAGATGGAGAGAGAGATGGAGAGAGATGGAGAGAGAGATGGAGAGAGAGATGGAGAGAGATGGAGAGAGAGAGAAAGATGGAGAGAGAGATACGACCAGTTCCCTCTCTAACCTTGCTTTAACTTTAACATTACAACGACACTTTCCAAGGGGACAGCCTGTTTGAGACGACTGTTTCTCTATTTGACAATGCGTGGTTGTCTTGGACAAGTTTGAATATATTTGCATGACTCATGCCTTCCGATTTTCTTTTTTGTTGTTTTTATTTTTGTTGTTGTTGTTGTTGTTGGTAGTTTTAGTAAAGCTTTTATTCCACTTGCAACACACATAGGTCATAGAAGAGCCAAAGATTACAGGTGTTGTTAAACGATAACATAAAATTAATGGTAAAGAAGAAGGAAAGTCATGGACGATAGATGAATGATACCAAATTAGGAGGAGAAATGAGGACAATACTTTATTAGGTTTGATAGTGAAAAAAGAGCAAATCAAGCTAGAGCACCCGACAACCACCCACTTGTTATCTTTATTATGTTATTCTCCTCTATTTCTGACACTTGTTTTCTCTACCGTGTGATTCTTTTCTGCTTCTCTCACTTGTTATCGACATCGTGTTATTCTCCATTGTTTCCCCCATGTTATCTCTCCCATGTTATTCTCCCCTGTTACCCTCCCTTGTAATCGTTACCATGTTATTCGCCCCGTTTCTCTCACTTTATAACTGACGACTGTCGGCGACAAATGTTTCGCCATTTGTTTTAATACTGGACAACCTCAAAGTTTCTATGAGATAGAATTGTTTACGTTGACGGGGAAAATGAAAAAGATTCTGAGGTTATTCAGGCAGGGGGTGGGGGGTGGGGG